CTCCACCAAGAACGAAAACTAGCGACGGCGCTAGAAAACGAACATCAATGCCCGTTACGGCCTTGCTCGATTTTATCCTTTTTAATCGTGTCTATTTCTCTCTAGTCCAATATTTCCTTTTCCCCGTCTGCGGTGAAAAGCAACAGAAAAAGAAGACGGCATGACTTGAAGAATCCAGTAGTGCCTGTTGGTAGTCCTCCGCTTCTCTAGTGGCTCTTGCTCGACGGAAATTAGAGTCCAGAGACCGGGGTTCTGTTAGCTTTAGCCGTTCCACAGCTTGCGAGTTCCCCCGTGGGGAAATGATGCTCTTTGGACCCCACAACGGTTTTCCACTGCAATGTCTAGAGACCAGCAGGTGTTTAATGTCGTCAGCCTTGTCCTATGGGCCTCGGCTTCCACTCCACTTCCACAGGCCCCCCTTTCTCCCCATATGATGGAGAGCCTTGCCTTTGGCATGACTAGTTGCGTCAGAGAATCACGAGAGTGCAGTTCCCAGCTGGGCCTCTCCCGTCCTATGCAGGGAAAAAAAAAGATAGACTATATGCACAGTCGTTACGTCAGGGCGGTCGCCCAATATAGGGGTCCATATGACTCGAGCGACGATCCGTCTCAAAAAATGGGCGTTGACTAGCTTAAGCAGCAGGAACACGCTTCTTCTTCTTCCTACGGGCCTTTTTTGCAATCCTCCGCCAACGCAGGAGAGGGATAAACAATCAAGCACGACAGGCAGTAGTTCGTCTGACCGGAAGCTAAGCAACGCCCCCGGAAGACCCCCGAGGGGAATGATGCATGTCGGCCCATTTCACCGAAAAAATTGAGCGAGCGGAAGACTTAGAACCATCTAAGCGGCTGCAGCGTCTTTTTCCCTGTTACGTAGCAATATCTTGCTCAGATGGTGCTTTGGGCGACGTGCGGCGCTGGCGTTGGTTGGTTGATGTTGACTCAAAGCCTTTTATGCGCATGAATGGGTGAAGCGGTGAAGGCAAGACATGCAGTGTTGAGTAGAGCGCAGTTTCACATTTTTTCTTTTATTTGCTAATTTTTCTCTTTAATCCTCCGTACGCTCAGCAAAGTATTAAGAGTAGCTGCGCGTTGAGAGAGCAGGTGTAATGTTTGCGCAGCGTTTATTACTGTGAGATCTGGCGGTGATTGCATCACCAGGTTGATACATGCACTGAATCACCAAAACGTGAGCTGAGTTGCAACACGATACGATTCAACCTATCAAAAGGAGAATAACAGGCCTAACGGCAACTAATAACGGCGTCAAGCATTGAAATTAAACTCTATCAAACTGGATTATTAAATGGATATTTGATTTTATTTTATCGTCAATTATTTTAGAGGACATACATAAAATATAATGAAGCCGAAAAAGGCGAATGATTCCCGTCTTCTTCAAATCGACATCCCGGCCCGAAATTTCTATTCTCTGCTTCTTCTTCTCCGATCGCTACTGTGGACACTCCATCGGGGAGGCTGCAACTCAAAGGGGGCCCTGTCTCGATGGGCGGTGATGATTTGCCTAATCACTCGGACGAGCGTGCCACGCTAAACAGCCCAGCTGCACCGTACCTTGCGTCGCTGTAAATGATGCTATATGCATGTTATGCGCAGAACAGTTCTAGTGTCCGTGGCTTGCTCGTCTGTCGCCGATGGAGGTGCGTTAACGGTCCGAAGCAACAGCAACGCCAGGGAGGGGGCCCCCTACACGGAGATCGAAGAAAACGAGCGAACGAACGAAATGACTTTGAACTGACTAAGTGACAGACCTTGGCGGCGAGGTTGTCAAGTCAGAAAAAATAAAGGTTGCCTGGGAATCGGAATCGGGTGAGATTTGCCCAAAATAAAACAAAGGGGGGAGGTGTGGGAGAAAACTGATCTCGATCCCAATGGTACGTACGTAGGGGTTGGAGTTTTTGCTGGGAAAGGGTGCTACGTCATTGTCATCGAGGCTGGGGGTGTTTTGGTTCGTTCGACTTAATGGCTGATGCTTTTTGGATGCTGCTCTGCTCTGCATTGCGCTCACAATGAATTTCTTGTTTTTTTCTTCGCATGTGCCCGCGGTCAAGGCCGGGTGACTAATGAAGATCAGACTGAAGGGAAATTGCAGTGAAAGAAACGGTAAATTCAGCGATAAATAATATTGTTTTCTTATTTTATTTCGTTTTTACTTTTTTAAATCTTTTCAATAGTCAGCATCTTGGGCTGATTGTTTGCTTGCCTCTTTCGCCGGCAGCCCGTGTAAAGTTAGTCCATGGAAAGTGCCGAGACTCTCATCCGTCTTTTTCGCCTTGCTCGGGAATGACATCTCAAACAGGCAATTCTGCCCCAAAAGCTGAACAGCCTCCCATTGGAATCGAAAAGCCACAGACATAATAAAATAGAGAATGATACGCGGAGGGCTGCACCGCCACCTGTAATAGTAAGCAAGCAAACAGCACTCCCGAACTTGTGGCGCACCTCCCTTCGGCTCAGCGTGTTGCTTTCGGTCAAATCTGGGTGTTTGTCGCAGATTTTACCCAAAACGACAAGTGTGGCTGGTTGAGAGGGAGGTGTCTTTGTCGCGTGGCAGGCGTGTGGCACGTGTGTTCCATCTCGCTCTACTCTCGTTAGCTGTGTTGCTTTTGCCTTTTTGCCTTGATGTTTACATAAGGATGGACTTGGGCGTTGGCAAACTCGGGACAAGGGAGCTCTTTGTGGCTGTTGTAATTGCCACGGGAAAATCCGCGAAATCCGCGACCCCCGAGGATAGATGCGTCTCGTGGCTTCTTTTCCACGGATACGGAAGTGTGTAAGAATCAACTAGAACAAGCGAGATTTTGAAAATCGGCAAACAAGTACATAATGGAAACTGAGTATACAGTCTCCCGACGCGGAGATAAGGGGACGAGGCCTGCATATGTACATACGAAAACAAGCATTTGCGTTATCTCTGCGAATGTTACATCGCGCAGGGATCGTTTGCAAAGATAGAGACCTTGCGACGTGTCTCAGTGGAAAACGAACCCTTCCTAGATTAAAAGTTGCCTGAATAGGAAAGCGAGGCGACCAGGGCCCGATGCTGCGTTGCATCCCCGGAGGAACGCCAGTCTTGGAAGCGGGACGTTCTCTTCTTCTTTTGCTTCTATAAGTGACAAGGTACTTTTTTTTCTTCCTCTCGGACAGCCACCGCATTTGGCACGTAAGTATTCAATCTATATTCATTACTTCATCTTTTCCGTCAACACCCAACAAATCTGTCAAACAAGTCATTCTTTGCTCCACACGGACATGACACTTTGATTCTTTTCAAACGCCGGCTGTAATGCGCACCAGTGACAGCACAGCTGGAGTGGCTGGAATGGCGCGAAAGGGTTGCGTGGGGAAAAGCGAAGAAATTAGTAAAAAAGGAAAAAAAAAAGAATAAATAACGTAGCCATAGAGAAATGACATAAAAACATTAAAAAACGAAGAAGAGGGTGTGGAGACCCCGCTTTTCTGATTCTTCTAGAAGCCTTCTGCGACACGTGGGATGACCGGATTAAAAAAGCCTCTGGGGGTATCTCGCGGTTATTTTAGGGTGGGTGTGAGTGGGAGTTGTTTGGCCTGCGTGGTACAAGTTTCGGTTCGGTGGCTTGAATCCGAAGAGAAGGGGACGACATGGGGAATATTGAAACCCAGGTTGATCTTATCGGTCCGCCTGGCGTGTCATTTCCGTGAAACTCTAAAGTCGCTTTTTGCCCTTTACTCTTTGTGTCGTTGGCGGGTAGTCTAGAAGGAGTTGTCACGACTCGTAACAGCACAGAAAACTTGGCGCATTCCGCTTCAGGAGAATGGTTTTTTATTTGGTTGCCTGATGCTAGTTTCGAGGGTTTTAGGGGGTGGCTGTTGGAGAATGCGATAGTGTTGCATGGGGAAAAATAATTAATAGTTTTTTTCGGTGATTTTTTAAAAAAGAAAAAGAATAGAACATGTGGCTCATGAATCATGGTTGCCGCAATTCTATTGTTTCAGCCTTCGATTCTATACGTATTCGTATAAAATAAACCTCAAGTTTGACGCAATAACTTGCCGCGAGCGATAACTTCCAAAAGGGCCTTTAGCGCCGTGCTTGCAGAAGGCGAGTTCGCCATGACAACTACTTTCGGTATCTCAAAACCGTCCGCGGGTTTCACATCCTATTTCGCTACTAGATCAATTATCCGCCTGCCAAAGCCCGCCACAGGTGGCACTCGTAGATTCTACGGCCTTTCGGTATTCTTCCAACAAGACTAGGAACTTTGAATAATTGAGCCGAAAGGAAGCACACCGGTGGCGGCAACACGAACGTGGCTCATCAATCTTGCAAGAGCGTCAAGGGTGGAGTTCCGCAAACTTGGGTCATTCTTCCCTTGTATGGAAAATGCGTTGTGTATGTAATCTAGCCGTTCTTTGTCTTCTTCCCCGGACAGCGTGGGAGAGGCGGGTCAAGCGGAGAATGGCTGATTAAGATGGAAGAATCCCGCAAAAGGCTACTCGCTGTGGCACCGGCTGTCAGAAGTGGAAACGTGCATAAAAAGAAAACGTGTGTAAGTCGAGAGACTTTCAGCCACGAAATGACTTTGATGAAGATGTACCTGTACTGAGCTGGATGTACGGAGATTAGGTTTATTCCCATTTGGCCAAGTTGAGATTTCCAACCACTCGTGGAAGCCATCATCTGCGATTGGCATTGCTGATGATTAAGCGAGCATCCAGACATGTAGCCTCTTTTTGCGAAGCGACAAAAGGGCAAATCGTTCTACGGTCTCACTTCAGAATATGGTGCAAGTTATTGCGCTATTGACGCCGAATGTGTAAGCAATGATTTATAACATTGTTAGTAATAAAAGAGCAAGAATTTGCGAAATGCATCCTTTACTCTTCCAAATATGTTTTCAAGCTGAAAGGATATACAAGATGATGGTGATCTGTGTTTGACAGCATCAATCAATCACCCGCGACATCAATGCATCATAGCCGCGCAGATGGTGTTTACGCTATGCTAGATTCGGCGCCGTTTCCACACGTGACTCCAGCCTGATCTGCTGATGCTGGTGGAAGAGTCATCAATTAGCTGAAATCACGATTGTACTTGTTTATGTGCTCTTACAAGGCCGCGAAAATCTACGTAATGCAGCCTCGCGTCAGAGGCGAAATCTTGAAGGTTTGCTCTACAAAGTCGTTTCGTCTTACCAACAAGGAAACTATCGCTTGCTTCTTATAAAAACGGCCACGTCGTAGGACGCGTGATCATCTTCCAAGCGAGGCGTAACGCCTTGTAGCTGAGCAGCCAACAACTGCCGCAACGGCGCCGTGGAACGAGCGGGAGCTTATTACCATGTGAGGGCGCACTGGGAATGAGGGCAAATATTAACCACCCGCCGGCTTCAATTGCGTGAAATGCGGCCTTTGACGGCATCATAACATGCCGACTTCCCCTCATCGCGGCCGGTCGCTGTGGCGTAAATCATGGCCAAGTTGTGAATGGGCATTTCGCTGCGAATAGAAAAGAGGCTTGAACAACTTTGCCCTCTGCTACGTTACGGTCTCTTTTGCGTATCTCAATGAGTCAGAAGAGGCATAACGGGACGCATTCAATGAATCAAGGCGTTTGAAGTGAACCGTTTTACACCGTGGAGCTTTAGCCTCGTCACCAACAGCGGCTCGACCTGTGGATTATCACGGGCATATGTCTGAGTACAGCAGCAATAAGCACTCGGCTCGAGATGCTTGCTGTCATTCAGGGGAAACGGAAAAATAGCATCGCGGCATAGCCCTCGGCGCGGTGCATGCATTAGCATTAGCATGTGCTCATCACTCTATCGGCTCCATTTCGCAGGGACAAGACACTCCCTGTCTGTACTTGTAAGCGCAGAGCCGGACGCTACACATCACTTGTTATACGAGTATCGCCGCGCTGCGTTGATTAACTACCAGCCCTACGGCAACATGGATATAGATTGCATGTAGATTAATCGCATGTGTTGTTTTCACTTGTCCATGCCAGAACCAACAAAGGATCCCAGCGCATTCCGTGTCACTTGATCGCATTGTACTTCCCATCGGCGATATTGGCTGCGCTCGACGACACGCCCTGAATATGCTTCGTCGCTGACGCATTCATTATCCAAACCACAAAACATCCCCTCCCCCAGAGCTTTTTTGACGCGGGCAGAAGCTTGTTTGCGGGTGGTGCTGCGAAAAGCGGATAAGTGCGGGGATGGCCGCGCAGGAAATAACGATAAACACACTGGAATTTACAAAGTAAAATAGAGTAAACGGTAAGCAAGGGGCCCCCTCAAAGCAAAATAGAAAAAAAATGTAAAGAACAAGGGGAGATAAAATAAAAAGAAAAAAGGATAAAATGCAAACGGGCCTAAAACAAGCAGCCATCATTATTTACCAGCCAATGCCCATCTTGAACATATCCTGCTAACTCGATTATCCTCCAGTAAGAAAAACCGGCAACGAAAATTCGCCCTCTCATGTGATTGCTATTTTATCGCCCCTCCCCTCCAACAGCCAGCCTCCAGGGCCGGGGAGGGGGAGAAAAACAAGCAGCAAACACGCCGCAAGGGGAAACAAGCGAGGGGGAAATGATGGGTGGCTCAGCCCTTTTTTCGAACAAAGTGAGCTGTGAGCTGTGAGCTGTTTGCTCTCTGTTTTTTTTGTTGCTCTTATGTGATTCTTATGAAATTGATATGCTATGGCTCATAATATTTCAGCTCACCTGACGCTGTTGCTCAAGGGAGGGAAAACAGCATAAAGGCAAAACAAGAGAGAGAGAGAGAGAGCCTTTGCTATCCGCTCTTCAGCTGCTTACTAGCCATTGCTGCTGTTCACGAGTCCTAAAAAATCCTCCTCGCTTGTCTCTATCTCTTGTCTCTGCTGACTGTTGCGGCTGCAGCGGCTCCCCTCGGCCAACGCGAGAAAGAGACGAGTGTTTGTGAGTCCTTTGCGGCGCCGCAGTGGCAAACCACATGGCCCATTGGATTTTTTTTTGGCCCAATTCAGAACCGAGCACGAAGGAAGAGATGGCCGGCATTAGCGAACAAGCAGCAAAATGTCACCGGTGGTGTCTTGTCGCTGGCGTTGACATTCCTTTCGGGCCTACGTTCGTTTCGAGGGCGGCAATCTTGCCGCTGTGTCATTTCTCTCTCTCGTTTTCGCCATTTTTGGTAAACGGGATAGAAAAAAAAAAACGTTGACAAATATGAATTATGCCATTTTATCTCGCTCACGTGCTTATACCATTAATTATCTTTGCATCCGGACTGCTTCTCGCTTGTCGTATCGTGAATATGACATCATGGTGTTTTTTTTTGTTATTGTTTTTCCCCGCCCTGCGTCCAAACCCTTTGCTTACTCTGTCGGTTCTTGCGTTCCTGGGCAAAATCAGACAATTTAAATCTAGTGAGATTTTACTTTATCGAGGAAAAACGGAAACGGTAGATTATAATAAGTAAGCTCGAGTAAAGAATAAAAACCAAAGTCCATTGAAAGCAGAATAAATTACTGTCAGCCGCTTGAGAGTATGACTGCCCCGCCACCAACCACCACAACAATACAGTACGCGGGCCTCAGAGTTTTTTGCCAGCATGGCGTCTGGACCTCGCTGTGGCAATGCCCTGTTGGGCAACTGGTCTCTCTGGAGAGTGATTTGCCCATGGCGTTGACGTACAGTACGGACAATATCTTTACTGGAACTATGATTTGTGTTGTTTTCAATCGCTAGATGCTGCTGCAAAACTGCCAAAGACATCTTCCGCCACAATCGTTGAAGCGTAGCACCATACAAGCGTAGATTGACTTGACATCAGGCAACCCCGGCACTGGACCTGCATAAGACGTCCGCAAATATCATCACAAATCGAATTAGTCACTGATCAATTGTAAGAGCCACCCCTCTACTCTGATAGACGGCTCCAGTTTCAGGGCCATATAATTCCCAAGCCACACTGCGCCCAGTCCTCGTATTCTGCCCCTCCATCCTATCAGGCTATGCAGAGCTATCAACTACCGACTGTTGCAAGGCTCCTCTTGCCGCCTTCCGCAGTGAAGCCGTTGAAAGGCTGTTTTGCCCGTGCCTCAGCAAGCCAAGGGAAACTTGTCGGGCCAATCAGAAGCCAATTGGACGTTTTGTTCAATGAAAGCAGCATGTGAAGAGAGGAGAAGCAACATGAACAGGCACGTGGCTGTAAATTTCAAGAGGCACCGCACCCAATGGCTACATACCTACTATGTGGCGTCGCAGTATTAGGCTTTTGGGTAGTCGAAGCTACCTGAACCTGACGAGCGGACTGCCGGAAAGGTTGTGGTTCGGCAAGAAATCCATATGAGATGTGATACCCTGAACTGAAAATACCAGGCACCATTCAAGATTGCGGCTCTTTTTGCGCCCTATCGAATAAGCTTGCTGTTTGATCGCTGTTGAACCAGATAACTTGATTTTGGCGATTTCAATCGTGTAAGCCGAACGCGCCTTAGCGCTCCGGTGGCACGAGCTGGAGCTATTCCTCTAATTGGTGTGACTTGATTCTATCATCTCACCACCATTGGCTTTGAAGCTTTTTCTTTTGCATGTGCTTGCTGCTGTTGCTATTTTTAATTTTCAATTACTAGCATCTTGCTATAAAGTGTTTGCACATTGTTCTTTAAGCATACGAGGCCGGCTGTGCCGATAGCTAAAAAAGATTTGTTTTGTGGAAAACGAAATGGAGTGCCTGATTGGGGCACCCTGTTCATATGCAGCTTGACGCTGGATGACGAGATACGTGTCCAACACCGAGAACCGCCGAGGCAATCGCTTCATGAAAAGATGCCGAGCGGGACACTGCTGGCTAAGATGGGTATTCCGATGATACCGAAATTATCCTTGGCTAATGTCTGCGTTTGGTGTTTTCCGTTTACGGAGTCTCTTTCGTCCTTGCTTTTCGTATGCCGTGATTCCGGTTGGTGATGGGAGGCTTTCAGTTGTAGAACCGAGGAATTGAGATTGAGATTGAGATGCTGTGTTTCATAAGAATTGAAAGGAGTAAATGCAATCCTGAAAAGGTGTATTTACCGACTGACCTTTTGGAGAGACCTTCCATCACGAGGCCCTGTATGAGGGAGGTGCACGGGCTTAGATCTGATGGCCGATGGTAGGTGTGTTCCCTTGGATAATTGAAGTAATTAATGGAAGGCAATTAACAGTTTAGAGAAGTAGAATCCATTTTATTTACAGATAAAAGAAGAATAAAAAAAAGAAAAAATGTTTTTTTAAAAAAGAAAGAAAATGAAAATAGGTAAAAAAAAAAAGGATATATGGTACGTTGGCAAGATACAAAAAAGGATATTTCAGAATACAACCCCTGCAAATAGCAAGATACATATCATTATTTCACCCGTAATATGGACCATAGTGGCAAGAAGGAATATTAATTTGAGCTATTTCAATTTTGGATTATATGGAATGCTTCAAAGTGGAGAGATAGTGTGATGTTTCATCATAGTCGGAGCAGTAAAGAAGCCTGTAACAACAGCATTTCCCAAAGAACACGCGGATAACTCGGCCATCGAATGAATAAGTTACTTGTTCATCATCGTATACAATAGTGCTAAAGTTTTGATGCATATCACAATAATGTGTGTCTCTTGAAATCTTTTCACACGGTCGTTCCTCTCGACTCTCAGCGCTGTTCAAGAGCTATTTTATTGTGGTCGGACATGTTCATGAGGGCATCAATAATAGAGTGTTCTGTTGGTGCCTGCGTCTTCTTTTACGCAGACGTGTATCGTATGCTTTTGCATTGCTGTTCTGTCAAACTGGTGCGAGGTCTATTGCTTTATGTCGACTTGGAATAGAGCAATTGTAATCACACGATAGTCTACGAACGAACAATCACTGAGATAACACTGCGAAGCATCATGCTATTATACTGTACTCATCAAATAAAGATTTGCTCAGGCTCTTTGAGTATGATGTGATTTGCAAAAACCTTCCATCAGAAATATTCATCTTATACATCTAATGCTACAAGTCATGATATAGACATAATTTGGACTCATTCCTCTACATCATGCGTCTCCCACAGCTGCCAGTCCCTGACGATTTACCAGAACCGATTTCTGGAAATATTTTGCTCCCGTTGATTCTAGCGAAGACATTTCCATAGTAGTTGCGCTCAGGCTGCGTGCATCCAGGACATTTTGCTCCGGCTCGGCTACCAAAGGTCGGGCTACTCGTATAAACGCCTCCGTCAGGGCACGCCGATCGTCTCTCGTGGAACGACACTTCTTGACATGGATGAGGGCCTCGTCGAGCTTATATAGCGCCTCGCGATGGTCATTTTTCTCCATGGGATGTACTACAGCCCGCATCGCCGTTGTCTTCATCGCCAGCTTGATGCTCTCCTTGCAAGCCCGGCTGCCGCGCCACCACTGGACTTCCGAAGTAAACTTGCCCAGGATGGATTTCAAAGCCTTGTAACTAGCAGAGCCTGTGTATGCAAAAACCAGGTTGGAAAAGTTGTACTCGCTGTACAAGAGTTCTCCCTTGCCGTTCTCCCTTGCCGCTACCTCGCATATGGTGACGGCCCCTTTCAAGTCGCCCTTTGCTGACAGTATTTGCGCAGCTTTGTTATATACGCTGTCATGTATACGAGTCCCTTGACGAAGAGCCTGCTTAATCACATCTCCAACATCATCGCCATGTTCAAGCCTCGTCAGCAGCAGCGGGGTCAGGGCTTCCGTAACATCGTAGCCTCGGCGACGAGCTTCGTCAATGAGCGACGCTGCCTCATTGACACCCCCGCTTTGCTTCTTGAGGTGCCCCAAGACTGCCAAACGAAGGCAGCGAATTGATGGATGAAGCCCGCTCAGTTGCAAGCGATTGTACGCCTCGCAAACGCGCTCCCACTCGTTCTGAGCTGATAGCCAGTCCATGCAGTCGAAAGCATCCGCCTCAGATACCCAGTTGTGTGATTCCAACGAAGCGGGTGGCACATCACTTGATCTTTTCCCGTCGAGTTTACTTGGCAGAAAATCTGAAAGTGTTGGTGCTAGCCCTTGGAGATTTTGATGCAAACTTGTTATCGTTTTGTCAGAGAAGCTCCAATATTTGCGACATGCAGAGTAGAAGCGGCGTATGAACGTATCATCCATCTGAAATCCGGCTTCGGAGCAAAATTGAAGCCATGAAAACATAGAATCGAGGTCATGGCGGCTTGCATATCGGTCCAAGACAAGGTTTACCCATCTGGATTTTAAAGTTATGTTATAGTTGCGCACAAATTTCCTGAGCAAGGTCTCGAGGCCTTCTGAGGAGCAAGTTTGCACGAAAACCTCAGTGATTTTACTAATTGTGTATCGCAAATCGTTTGGCTTTGTGCTGTTAGCACTCTCGAGCGCCTCTATGCCGTCACGAACTGACTCCCAGCGCCCAAGAGCAGCCTCTCGCACAATCAGCCTACTTTGGAGCTTGATATCTGCTTTTGTCGTATCCGCATCCAGTGTATAGAGGTATTTCATTTCCTCTTGGGCAAAGGCGTCATCTCCCGCTTTCAGAGCTTTCGAAACCATGACTCGGCGTATTTTATACTCAACATTGGAGGTTACTGTAATTGCTTTGTACAAGCCGGCGCTCTGTAGGAGGCGATAGATTTGCTTGATATCTTTAAAGCTTTCCATAGCCTCGTCCAGACCAGAGAGCAGTCGATAAATCGTCATACCGTGCATCCAGAATCGTTTTTGTTTGTGCTCTGAAAGAAATTCAAGAAGCTGTTCCAGCCCTCTCTTATCCTTCTTCTCCCACAGCCATTTAACCATAGGTGATAGAGCTTGGATGGGATCCTTGAATATTGGGAGCAGGGTAGTGAGCACAGTTGTCATTTTCGTAGAATCGTGCTCGATTGTAATTCTAAGCAGTCGTAATCCATCTGATTTGAAATGGGCACTCCACCTGGGAGCTATCGGTCGAGATGCCATTGAAGCTTGTAGCTGATCAATAGCCGAATCTACCAATTCAGAGATCAAAGCATGACTGGACTGGCGCGACTCTAAATTCTGTAGCATTTGCTCAAGCTTTGTTATTTGATGGAGATGGGTTTTAGGAGTTTTGCCTGTCGTTAACATATTGGCCAGAGATAAGCGGGCGTGGGCCGTAGAGTCGAACTGCAAAGATTCATGTATAGGAAATGAGCCATCTTGTGTTTTCGAGTGCCTGGGGATTGGCTCATGATCCCTATGTAGAGAGACTTTAACCCGTGTTTCTAAATCCGTTCCGAGTCTTTGCGAATCCATCTCCTTAGAACGAAGTGGTAGAGCAGAAATCGGGGGAGCGTTCAAAGGCTTGAATGAGATATCCGACGGCCGGATATCGGTCAATGGGAGTATAAACTTGGTCGCCTCCAGTCCGAAATTCGATATGTGCGTCTCTTGGGTAGCTTTTTGCTCCCCGTCGCTAGACGCGACCCTGCTAGTACGCCCATGGTGCTCAAATGAGTGTCGGTGGATGCTGGCATCTCCATCAAGAACGGGAGAGTTGGCAGAGCTGCCCCGGCGTCGTCGTCGATAGGGATTTTTGGATCGCGAAGCAGACGGTAGCGATAAGACCTCGTCGCCATAATCTGCCAGCCTGTCTTCCCAGCTTTCGCTCAACGCAACAGCGCCCCTGTTGCTTTTGACGGTGTGCAGCTTCCGCGCATTATCAATGGCCGAGCGAGCAATTTTGAGTCGACGGCGGCGCTCCTCGGCGAGCAAAGCGACTGAGCACGATGTTGTAAAAAGGACGCCTCGGAGAGCATTAAGAGCGGCCTTGGAGGGCACTGGAGGAGTGGCAGCCATGTCGACGGCCCATATCTGCCGCTGCGCTGCCTATGTGTAGCGGATTGGGCGATTCGGGCGCATCCAGGAAGCGTGGTTTGCGGTTTGATCTCGTCCGGAAGTTATCGTAAGATTTCTGCCATGGCATGATGGGTGCAAATATCTCGGCAATAGTCTGGAAGAATTGGTGGTTAGTGGGGTACGTACCTCGCCCCGCCAAAGTGGTGCTGACAGGCACGTACCTCCATCTGTAAAGCAATTGAAGATGGAGAACACAGGCCCAAAGCATGCAGATGGCTCTTGTTGCAAATCTATATCCGAAAGATTGCAATCCGACAGAGACATTTAGAAAACTGATGCTATTTTTGTTGTTATCCTATGCCAATAAGTCGCTTGTCTTTGTCGTCACCAACTGGATCTCGCCTTTAGAGCTTGTTTCGCTGGCTGCAGCATAGTATAGCTTCGTCTTCTTGCAGAAGCATTTGAGCAAGTTGTCTTCTAGGCTGTCTGGTCAATTTCTACACAAAATTCTTCTAGCATCTCCTAGCTCCGCCACTCTATCTGCCATGGAGTAACTCCCTCTGCTTTATTTGTAGATCGTTCGATATAGCATTGGCAACCATCAGATAACATGCTTACGTAGATCGACTAGCTTCACTACGAACAAGCTAGGTTCTACTACATGTAAACTTGACTGCAAGCAGGTAGTTTCACAAACAGCCTGTAATTAATTTGTCTTGTCTGATCCTTCTGCCGAACGTATGTACGCAATGGATTGCTCAGCGGCGGACTTTGCCTCCTCAGTAGTCCATCAGGTGCTAACGCCGGGCGATTTGCTGTAATAGCCTCAATGTGCATCTTGCCATGCCAACCCCGCTTCTGGATCGAGGCAATCTCTTCGTACATCTTTCCGCGATCCGGCGGATATGCTAGGGTTCTAGCGGTATCTTGAACAACTCGTTCCATCGAACACGCAATTCGGAGTTTAGAGCGATGGGTCTAGGAGAAAACAGCTGCAGCGATGGACATAACAGCACTCTTCGGCCGAGCGCCGTACCGGGTACATTTAGACATGCAGCTCTGGCTTTGGCGGGGTCGTGTCGAGGTTGAGACAGGGCGCAGTGCTCGATATAGGCTTATGCGCTACGATGCGTGCTTCTGATTGGCAACTTCTCACGTACATGGTACAAATAAATGCAATTGACACCCTCCGCATCCAATTACCCTTTCCATCACACACTCTTGCTGCAGCTATAGACCCAGAGGGCTCCAGTTGCTATTGCCAATCTACATCACACTAGTAAATCGGTTATGGCTGCGACAAGGCGAGATGTCTGGTTGAAGCGCTGTGCCTCGGATGAGGTTGGCGAGTCGAAAGTTGCTGCGTTGCCATCTTGAATTGCTGCGACTATAAAGCGCCACCGCTCCCCGCCAACTTGCTCTCGCCGCCATCATAGCCCTCTACTCGGTTTTCTCTGCAGCAACAACACACTTCTCTTTCAAGGGAAAACATTAGCACATCATATTATTCGATATCACACCCCACTTCGTCAACATGAGCATCTTCGGCCCGCCCCCAGCTCCCAAGAGCCCACTCAACCGCTACCGGCTGCTATCGCCAACAGCCTCTGTGAGAGTCAGCCCTCTCTGCTTGGGTGCCATGAACTTTGGCACAGCATGGTGAGTTTTGACGTTTGTGCTAAAACTGAAATAAATGCCATGTTGCTGAACCAGATCACAGGAAGGACTTCATGGGAGAATGCGACAAGGCAGCTTCAGAGTCCATTTTGGATTTTTTCTATGAACAGGTGAGTGCCAAAGCTTTTGTATAAGGCTATTAGACCGCTTCTATTACAGCTGTAAATACTCGATAGCAGTGTGCTAACATCCTTCACAGGGAGGTTAGTTGACCATGCCGAGAGTAGTCGTGGACACATTCGGCGCGCGGATCACTGACATCATCATATAGGCAACTTCATTGATACGTCAAATAATTATCAGTACGAGGAGTCTGAGACAATCATTGGCGACTGGATGAAGAAACGCGGAAACCGCCATGAGATGGGTATGCCGCATTATAGCTCAAGCAGTCTGCTACTTGATTTCATCTAACTTGTTGCTCGATTTAGTTATCGCAACCAAGTTTACCACCTGTTACAAACTGGGGCCTAACCGCCCCCATATCGCCGCCAACTACACTGGCAACGGAACCAAAAGTCTCAACGCATCTGTTGAAGCCAGTCTGAAGAAACTGCAAACCGACTACATCGACTTGGTGGGTTAATCCACCAGCCACAGTCAACCCTGCATTTAGGATGCTAATCTATGACAGCTATATGTGCACTGGTGGGACTATGCCACTTCTATCCCCGAGTTGATGCAATCATTGAACAGCCTCGTTGTGGCTGGAAAAGTGCTGTATTTAGGAATAAGCGATGCTCCCGCCTGGGTAGTGAGGTACGTATGGAAATATGTTATTCACATTTAGAGTCACATCAGCTCATCTTACTAATACTACGAATGCAGCAAGGCAAACGAGTACGCCCGAAACCACGGCTTCCGCCAGTTTTCCGTTTACCAAGGACGTTGGTCTGCAGCGTCTCGCGATTTTGAGCGCGACATCATTCCCATGTGCAGAGACGAGGGAATGGCTCTCGCCCCCTGGGGAGCGCTGGGTGGAGGCAAGTTCAAGACCGAGGAGCAGCGTAAAGCAGACGTGGGACGCAAGGTCGAGGCCAGCGAGGTTGATATTCAGGTCAGCAAGGTGCTTGAGAAGATTGCTACCCGTAAAAACACGGTGATTACGAGCGTTGCACTGGCCTATGTTGTTCAAAAGACTCCTTACGTATTCCCCATTGTTGGCGGAAGGACAGTGGATCATCTCAAGAATAACATCGAGGCTCTCACACTGCAGCTTACTGAAGAAGATATTGAGGAGATCGAAAGCGCATACCCCTTTGATCTCGGGTTCCCCGGCAACATGCTTTGGGGTAAGAAATTCAGTGGATCTCAACAGAAGATCTGGCTGCTCGAATCTGCCGCTCACTTTGAATATGTTCCTGAGCCTAAGGTATGCCAGCCCTGATCTAATCGTGTAACATATCCCCATTGGCTAACATTGATCCTTTTTCAGCCCATTACGCCGTCCAAGGTTGGAGAATAGAGCGTCCGCTTCAAGACGTCGTGCTGGAGATGGCTGCCAGGACGCCAGAATCACCAATATGGCCATAATGACCATGGGATGCATGCGGGTCCTGGCTGGTGAGCTGTGAAAGAGAAATGAGTTACAAAAGCAACGAAATCGAGAGAAGGTCCGGGGAGATTAGCTGCTTAGCAGCTATTGGTGAGAGAAAGGGAGCTGAGAAACGCAATCCTAAGTAGTCTGAATATCATTTTTGAGCGCATCCAAGTTAGGAAGAATCTTAGGATATGAATTCATTGCTTCATCTTGCTGCTTCAAATCTTAGTAGGATACATCACAACTGCCCTGGTGGCAATAACATGCAGTATGCGATATGTAACTGATATTTCACATGTTCTTATGTTTGCTAACTGTTGCGTTTACATTTTATAGCAGTAATATCTTCTACCTCTGATTGACGACTAGAACTTATCGCTGTCCTCATATGTGAAAGCCGGATAGAATCTATTAACTTGTGACGATCGGGGCCGAGCAGGTTTCTTATCCACCGAGTGTACTAAGCTGTATAATCTCACTAATGCTCAGCTATCATTCGCACATTTCCAGCTATGAGGGACGTGTTACATTATATAAAGTGACAGAATCGCAATGCATGCCAACCTTAACTTGCCTGGACGGCTTTGATGCCGTAGACTTGATCACGGGATAGAAAAGAAGAGGAAGTCTACTAGATCGCACATCTACAGCATCTTGAAGTACCATATTTAGGCAAGCCAAGTTAACAAACTTGTAACCATTTTGTTGTATTATTGGGTATCTACATAAGGTACCTACTTTACTCGGTGTATATCAACTGTCACATGGCTGTTATCATAATACAAATATCCTATTTCCCACCCGAACGCCTGTATGGATTGGGGTTTCAGTTGACGCATCTCGTCAATATTTATTTAGCGCCCTTGCCCTTTGCCTCGTTCTCGCCTAGCTCTCTGATGAAGACCGATGTCTGTCCAGCGCCGCTGTAGTCGTTTTGGCCAGTCTCAAATCCTGGGCATACACCAACAGCCAGGTATTTCCCATCGTTTGAGAATGCCAGAGCCGCGACATTGTTGGGGAACTTTTGATACTGTTTTAACCTCCTCTTGGCCTCGGCATCCCATAGGGCCACTGTGCCATCGCCGCCTCCCGAGGCAAATGTTCCGTGGACAGTGTGGAACGCGAGCGCATTGACTGGGTACACGATATCTCCATCGCCATCGGGAGCCGCCTGTCTGTGGCATTTGAAAGCGTATTTCCTGGCTTGTGACTCGGCTGTGTCTTCAAACCACTCAACTGCAACACGACCTTCAATACTGCTAGTAGCGTAGCCGGCGTCGTTGGGCATGCAGGATACGGCACGGGTGAGGTATCGGAGGGACGACTCGCGTTGTTGCCAGGGTTTGAGCTCGGTGCTGCCGGTTTGGAATAGCTCGACGATTGCCTTGACATCATAGATGTTGATGATACGACCTGTCATGGCGACAACAATCTTGCTGGGACTGCCGGCAAGGGCCTGAGGCTTGCCCGGGAGAGCAATGGTGATGGGGGTGCTTGAAGGATCGTTAAGGTTGTGCAGGTTGAGAGTGCTGTCCCAAGACGCGGAGACGAGGATGCCGTAGGATTTGCTGTATACGACGCGACGGACGGGCGCAGTGTGCTTGCTGAGCGCGGTCAATTCTCCGGTTTCAAGATTGAGGCTGTGATTTCAGAGTTAGCGATGGCTCTTGTGTTGGTCATCGTGCGGCTAGAGTAGCAAATACCGGTTGACCGTCCAGTCCATGCCCGCGGTGAAGGCCTCATTGTCGTCGGCGCCGAAGCAAACATCTAGAACCGGAGCGCGATGCTCATATGTGGTAATGAGGCTTGAAGCCTCTGGGCCATTTGTAAGGTCATAATGATATACCTTGTTGTCCCAGGACGAGACAAGGAGCTTCGTGCCCGAGATTGGCGCGAATGCGATCGCTGATACCGCGTCGCCGGGGGGCGGTGAGAGCTCGTATTGCGTTGCTGTTCCTCTGTCAGCCACATATCCCAAAAGTTGAAGCTGTATCTCGCAAAAAGCATCAAAAACGCACCTGGAGCCATTGCCAATGCCCGCGCAGCTATGACGATGTAAGTTGTCCGACGATAGAAGCTGTTGTTTATTGAAGAGGATCACGTGGAGATAACCCACAATCGCAGATGTGGCGTTGTGCCAGGCCCCGCCACGAAGTTTGGCTCAAGCGCAAAATATCAAAATTGTGACTCCTCATCCCACTTCGAATCGCCTAGAAACGTAGCTTTACCTCACTTCTACGAGTCGCCAACGCACGAGTCTCACGGTAGCTGAATTTTCCTCGACCGTCGATTTCGAACCGCACAGCAGTTTTGAGACGAATCTGGGCACTCGCGTGAGGAGCAACGGAATAGAGACTTGGAAAAACACCCCACTTCCTAATATCCTCTTTTCTCAATCGACATTCATTTCCCCGGACTGTCATCGAACAAATACCGCCAAGATGTCTCTAACGAACTGCCGTTTTTACGAGGAGAAGTATCCGGAGATTGATAGCTTTGTCATGGTCAATGTCAAGCAGGTGGGTTTTGCTTCAGCTACGAGGATGGGGAGATTGGAAATACAGAAAGACAGGAGAATCTGACAAGAAATTTCCAAATGACGGATAGATCGCCGAGATGGGTGCTTACGTTAAGCTGCTGGAGTACGACAACATTGACGGCATGATTCTTCTCTCCGAACTTTCCCGAAGACGTATCAGAAGTATCCAGAAGCTTATCCGAGTCGGTCGTAACGAGGTCGTGGTGGTGCTTCGTGTCGATAAGGAGAAGGGTGGGTGATGAAACAGATCCAAACGGAAGAGAGGGTTGAAGCTGAGGCTCATTTTGAATCGCAGGATACATCGATCTGTCAAAACGACGTGTTTCTCCCGAAGATATCGTCAAGTGCGAGGAGCGATACAACAAGAGCAAGATGGTCCACTCCATCATGCGACACGTTGCCGAGAAGACCCAGACACCTATCGAGTCTCTGTACGAGAGCATAGCCTGGCCCCTGAACCGCAAATATGGTCACGCCATTGACGCCTTTAAGTTGTCTATCACGTATGTGACCATGGATTAGACTAGCTGTACGATTTGGAGAGGCGACTAATATGGACATAGAAACCCCGAGGTGTGGGAGGAGATTACATTCCCTAACCAGGTCGTCGACGACGAGCTGAAGCTGTACATCAGCAAGCGACTCACCCCTCAGCCCACCAAGGTCCGTGCCGACGTCGAAGTTACCTGCTTCGGCTATGAGGGTATCGATGCAGTCAAGGCTGCGCTGCGAACCGCTGAGGCCAAGAACACAGAGAACATGCAGGTCAAGGTCCGACTTGTTTCGCCGCCTCTATATGTGCTCACCAGCACATGCACTGACAAGGCGCAAGGCATCACTCGTCTGGAGGAGGCCATTGTCGACATCCGGACCACCATTGAGGCTGCCGGTGGCAACCTCACCGTCAAGATGGAGCCCAAGGCCGTCACGGAGAGCGATGACGCCGAGCTGCAGGCACTGATGGAGAAGAGAGAGCGTGAGAACGCTGAAGTTAGCGGCGACGAGAGTGTCAGCGACAGCGACGACAACATTCCTGAGACGATCTAAGCGTCTCAAAGCACAGCTCTGTACCACCAGCGATGAAGCTGCGATTCCAAGCTCGACTGAAGAGAGAGAGAAAAAGCGGGTAGCATCTTTTGAACAAAAAGAAGGAAGCGAAAAAAAGCTGTCAGCGCTCGTATGAAAATGAGAGACATGGCCTAGAATTTGGTTTAAGAAGTTTTGGTCGTGGGTAATGGCGTCTTTTTGCGTGACGGACGACCCAAAAAGCCGTGGAAGGCGGGATATATTGTGAGGGTAGATTTTGGCCGTGACTGCTGGACGTTTGATTTACGCGGGGCATCAAAGCTTTTTATAAGATTAAAAAAATGCTATAAATCAGACATTCATAACTGTGCCAACTGTACTCACACGTAGACTCGAGTAGCGTTGAAGCTTTGCTGTAGGTGTATTCAAGCTGTGAGGTCACTAAGAGCTTCTGCTGTGGGATGAGCTAACCCAGAAGAGGCACTAACAGGCCAATGACACCACTAAGCAACTTTTTTTGACAGGCGACCACTTCAGTATCAATTGTTCATAATGACTTGATGAACTGAGCACTGAGAACTTCATTCTGTGAGATTGCTGCATTGAAAATCACCATATTATTTTAAATCACACTTTTCTGTTTGCCTGCATCATTTCTGAGGCCATCTCCATGGCTCTCAATTCAATATGGGCGCGAATAAGAGGTAGTTCCGGCCCTCCAAGCCTTACTCGGACAACGATGCTGAACCTCATCGGCTTTGCGACCTGGATTCCGGTGATTGCCTGGTTCAACCTGCATGTGGCGGAGCTGACGGTCATTGACGGGTCGTCGATGTATCCTTTTATGAATGCGGATAGGGATTCGTCGCTACGAAGGGATGTGGTGCTGAATTACAAGTGGTCGCCGCAGGAGGATTTGCAGAGGGGAATGATTGTGACGTTGAGGTGCGTTGATGACTTCGCGTTGTTTGTTTCTTTTTATTTCGGGGCTGTGAACATGCTTAGCTGATTAATCAATAGGAGCCCCTTTCACCCTGAGACAATTGCCGTCAAGAGAGTGGTTGCCTTAGAAGGCGATGTTATCAAGACCAAGCAGCCATATCCCGTTTCGACAGTCAAGATACCACAGGGACATGTTTGGGTAGAAGGAGACGGTCCTCCAGGCTCAAGCCTAGACAGCAACACTTATGGCCCGGTTTCAAAGAGATTATTAACGGGCAGAGTGACACACATTGTCTATCCGCCGAAGAAGTTTGGGCCGGTGCGGTGGTGGGAGCATGACAGGCCATTGGTGGAGTGATCAAGAGAAGAAGCTGCTGGCGTGTACTACTACGACTGTATGACTAGGATTTTGCTACACATGCATTAAGAGGCGTCTAGGGTATATGAAGTCATTAAATGGCACTGCATTGTATCATATAACATTAAGAAATTCACCGAGAGACGAAATCGCAATATACCAGATTTGCTTGCATCTCTGCCGCAAGTCAACGCTCGGCGTGGGCCAAAAGCTCGCCTCCGAACAGAACCCCGTCAACCCGTCAATTCGCCGGAACGCCACAGCGGATCTACAAGACATGTGTGGCTGAGCCTAAGCCCGCCTATCAGCTTGCGCACAGCAAAAAGTTCTCAGAAAGAAGATCGGGAGCCCACGCGACCGACTTGCTCAGCCAGGTACCGAAGGAGAATTCGACGTCTTTTCATATCTTATCTCCTGATTCTAATACTAGACATTTGAACAGGGGGAGATAATTTCCAAGCTTCGGTCTTGCTTTCTTCTGGGCTGGTGGTTTTTTCTCTTCGGTGGACCCTTTCTTTCCCTTTATCTTTTGTTTTTTCTCCTTTCGCATCGATAAGCCTTCAGTCTCAATTGGGCGGCGCTTCTTGCAAATGTCCGAAGGCCTTTCCACCTCCTCCCAATTCCCTCTGGCAGGCTTCAACTCAGCGACTACAAAGCCCGAGAGCGCCGCAACGAGCGATTCGACGACGACGACGACAACGACTGCGGCAGCTGGCCGTGACGTAACTGCGCTGGACTCTTCTCGATATGCCGGCCACCACTCGATAGTCTCGTCCGAAAGCCACACTGCAGGGGGGCTTGCGAAGCCTGCGCATACCATGCACGGCGAAGATGTCGAGGTTGAGGGCCGGCCGCCGTATATCCATGTTGGTTCTTTCCTCCGTTTTGTTGTTGATTATAGCGGGTTGCTGGCTATGACGTTACGCATGCGATGAGGGGCTATTTGGAGACCTTTTTGCGCTGACTGTTGGCGTTCTTGTTAGGCTATGATTGCGGGAGGTATTGGAGGTTCAACCGGCGACATGCTGATGCATTCGCTGGATACCGTCAAGACGCGACAGCAGGGAGATCCGCATTTTCCTCCGAAGTACACATCCTTGGGGCGATCATACCACACCATATGGCGACAGGAGGGCATCGCGAGAGGCTTATACGGAGGCTGGATTCCAGCGCTAGGCGGGTCATTCCCAGGCACATTGATGTTCTTCGGGACGTACGAATGGAGCAAGCGGTTTTTGATAGATCACGGGCTTCAGCACCATCTCGCCTATCTCTCAGCAGGTAAGCTGCATGCCGAACTGACCGACGGCGATCGCTTTCCAAAGACTGCTAAGCTAACTTTTTGAAATCAGGCTTCCTGGGCGACCTCGCAGCTTCCATTGTCTACGTGCCATCCGAAGTTCTCAAAACCCGACTGCAGCTTCAAGGACGCTATAACAACCCCCATTTCGTCTCCGGATACAACTACCGCAGCACCCTCGACGCCGCGCGCACAATCGTCCGATCAGAAGGTGCCTCTGCGCTTTTCCACGGCTACAAAGCAACCCTATATCGAGACCTACCCTTCTCTGCGCTGCAATTCATGTTCTGGGAGCAGTTCCAGGCATGGTCCAGAGTATACAAGCAAAGCCGCGACATCGGCGCGCCCCTAGAGCTCTTAACCGGCGCCGCGGCGGGTGGTCTTGCGGGCGTCATCACATGTCCTCTGGATGTCGTCAAGACCCGTCTACAAACACAGGTCAACAATCCATCCGAGCCCGATTCTTCACACCACGAATCCTCACATCGACCGAAAGACCCCAACCCTCAGAAACGATCAATATCAACATCGTCACCAAGCACGCATAGACCTAGACCGGGTGCCATTGCCTTGAATACATCATCAGTCTTCGCCGGACTGAGGGTCATCTACCACACCGAAGGTCTAGGCGGCTGGTTCCGTGGCGTTGGGCCCCGAGGCGTTTGGACCTTTATCCAGAGCGGCTGCATGCTCTTCTTGTATCAGCGACTGCTTCACAAGCTAGAGGTTTGGATGCCTCTAGAAGACTCTAAAGTTGAAACTGCATTGTAAAAGCAGAAAGAAGAAGAGAAAGAAACAACGACACAGAATTTTGTTGCTTCTTGATATATTTGAATTTTTTTTGTCTTTTTATTTTCCTTTCTTGCTTGTACATGATACTGGGCGGGCATGAGCATTATGACGAGAAGACACAAAACGAGCATAGGAGCGATCAAGAAGAGGGATTTGGGAATGAGACACTACTCATTAGATGAAACAAAAGAAAAGAAGAAGAGAAAATAAAGGGGGAGGAAGTCAGATTCAAGCATAAAAAAAAAAAGAAATGGGAGAAGGTTTTAACGGGGAGGGCGTAGAACTAGGGCCCGGTCATTTACGTGAAGGCGTTTTGGGAGAAGAAAATAGAACTGGGATGATAAGACGGGGGTTCTTTTGATATATGATATAGATAGAGGGTATGGGAAAGGGACATGTGTGCCAAAATCTCCAACATGGTGTTTTATTACTGTATATTATTCTTTTGCGGGCATTGCGCTATGCCATTGCCGATATGTGGTTTAATACAGAGTATTCAGAGATTGCCTATTTACTGGCGATTGAATACATTGTGTGCAAGCATGCCTAGAATAGGGGGCAAATTTAGCTATCGCTAGGAGACAATATCGAACCCAAGATGCGTCAACCAGACGAACAACCAATAACTAGAGAGATACAAACAACACTCGTATCGAACAATAAGCAAATCCCACACCAACAAATAGAACAATAGCAACCTTCTCTTATTGTCTCATTCCATATAGTCAATATCAAGCATCCACATCGCTCTCCTCAACCACTCTCTGCTCCTCAAAATCATCCATCCTGGTCATCATATCGTCTCGTGCGAGGCATGCCACAATCGCTACAGTCAGTGCGTTCCACACACTCTGGCTCTGGTCGTGAAAGTTCATGTCGAGATGAAGGCTGAGATTCATAGATGATTCATGTTTAGATGAGTCGACGGTGAATAAGCAAACCGTCGTAGAGATGATGAAGAACCCGTAAATAACAGGAGGGGACCGTCGAAATAGTAGGGGCGAGGGCAATAGCGGCGACTGAGGTAGTATTGGCTGGGCAAGAGGAATGTCCTTCATTGAGACATCGTCTTCGAATGATTCCGGTTTGATGTTGAGCTTCTCGTCTTCTTCCATCTTGAAGCTCACTCGATCTGCTATTTGCTTGCGCTCGCCGACAGCCGTCTGCTCTTCGTCCTCATCGTCAATCACTCTTGTTTCTCCGTGGGATTCTGGCTTTATGATGGGGCGGAATCTAATCAATCCCAGCAGCTTACTCATGATGCGTGAACCAAGCCTCCCCCACGACTGGCCTCTTTGCTTAAGCAGTTGCCGTTGCTGTTCATCCGAAGCCATTACTTCAGACTTTATTTGCATTTCGACTTGTCTGTCTATATCCATGCTTTCGGTAGAATTTTGGTCAATCGCGAGAGCTTTACGGTGCAATCTTGCCAATGCGTTCATTCGCTCCTCTATGATACTCGTGAGATCAGCTTGTTCGGTATTCTTGTCGAGGATCTCGACAAGGACATTAGGGATGTACTGCAGATGGTTGTACCCTCCGTCCTCGGCAGCCCATCTTATGAACTTGGCCAAGGCGTTTTTTATCATTAGAGGTGTCTTCCGTCGTAGCCCAGACTGACTGGCTGTCCGAACGCAGGCAGTCAGATCGATTAATCGTGTCAACGCCGTAGTAGCTACATGTCAAGTCAGCTTGAAACTAGAGAACCTTGAATCAAACAGAATAAACGAGGGGGGAGGGGGCCAGGGAGATATTTAAAGTAGTCTCTGACCTAGAAAAGTGCTCGTGTGCGCATAGATGATGGGACTCTCCCCTTTCTTGCAGCAAAAGCAGTCTCCTGAGATGGGGACACCTCGAAAATCAACTTCCCAGTGTAGCGGCAATAGGGGTATGTCCTGTCTCAGGAAGAGGATCTCGAAAAGCTGTTCCTCGCCTTTTGCCCATTCTAGCCTGCCAAGGTAGTTCCTCTTTGCCATCTGCATATCTGCCAGTGTCCTGTTGCTGACGAGCGTGCCTTCGCCATCCTCGTCTCTCCGTATCTTTATCGGTGTATAGGGCGTTTTCTTAGGCGAAGCCGAATATCTGCTAGGAGAACTTCGTGGTGTGGTATTGCGACTCCTGGATGGTGTCTCGCGATGTTTCTTTGCACTCTTGCGCCGGGGAGTTCGACGTCCGGGAGAAGGCCGAGAGGTAGCCTCGCTACTAGTTTTCGTATTTTCCATGGAGAGACGCATAATTAGCTTATGAGGTTCGTGAAGATCATGGGTGTCGCACATTGCATTTGGGAAGAAGTGGAAGCTGGTAGGCGAGTCTCGCCCTCTAGTTGTAGGACGACGGGCTGGGTTGCAAATTCCACGTTTGACTTGGTCGCAGCAGACTGAGTAACATCTTAACAGAGTAGAGGTGTTTCGGAAGCAGGTTAATGCTTTTATAGGCACCTCGAGTGCTGAAGCAGGCCGTTTGCTAGTGCCAGGCAGCTGTCCAGCCATTGGGGGAGGTGCAGCAAGGATGACTGCAAGTACGGGATGCCAGCTGTAGGGAGCCGATACTTGCAGCAAAGCCCTCTGTATCTGACATTAGTGTTCGAAAATGAGTGAATGGATGTCAAAATTCAAGTTATTGCAAAGGATCCCATTGAGCATCATTTAATTGATAGCAAATAGAAGACAGGCAACAGGAGCATCACCATTATATGGTCTATCGAATGGCTGCGGTACAACACAATGAACACGGTCTGGTCATAACTCATATCCTCCTTATGAGAAGTCACTATGTCCCCTCTACAATCTCCAAACTCAATCCTTCTTCTGCATAAAGGGTTGGCATGCCTCGTAAATCTCCAAATGCCCAGGCAACTTCAAAATCCTCTGGAACACGCCTTCGTCAATCACCTTTGCGGTCTGCATAGATCCTGCAACGAAAAAGTCAGTCAAGCTCGGTCGGGCACCGAGAATAAACGGCCCATCAGCCTTATTTGTGCGCATCAAAGCGCCAATAGCCTGCGAATCGCCTTCCAACGCCTCCCATGCCTCATCTTCGCCCTCAAGCAGCTCTTCCAGCGGACGCCCAATCCGAGCCTCACGAGCGCGTCGAAAGTACGCTTCTGCGCGAGGAGAAAATATGAGAGCCTCGCGCGGCATTATAGATTTTTGGACAGTTGGGCCGAGTTCAGCGCGTAATTTGAGCATAATCTTGGCGCCCAGTTCTGAATCGAGTTGCACATGCGGATCAGGATAGGTTGATTCAATGAACTTGGCGACGGCAGGGGAGTCCATGACATATTTGTTTGTCGGTACATGGTAGATGGCGGGAACCGTGTAGTTCTTTGTATTTCCTGTAGCAGGATCGTGAGGGGGCAAGCCTCTGTAGTTCATGTTAGTGACTCTTGCATCACCGTAGCCACGGCTTGAAGCTACATATCTTGGGTAGACAGGGGTTTCAGTCGGAGAGACAATCAAAAGGAAATACAATTACAACAGATGTTTCAGAGGAAATTTTCAAAGAACGTAGATCTACTCACAGCTCTTTCAGCGTAGGCTCGATGTCTGGCATCTCGAGGAAGACGGTCTTATACGGAATTTGCTTGTAGTTGAGCATCATGCGGATGCGCCATACGACAGGCGAGAAGCAGACATTCTTGGTGCAAGCCAAGTCGTACAACACAATCTCATGCTTGACGTCTTGTGCTGCCATGTTGCGCGCCGTGAACCAAGCTCGAGTGAATGAGCGAGTGAATGTGCAGGCGAAGAAACTCAGTATATCATAACCCCGGGTATGCGATTGTAGGTATTTATCATTTGGTCGACTAGTAACTCAAGTATTACTGCGAGCTGCCCATTGCATTGTCACAAGATGAATATGTGTAAGAAGCGGCGCCCTTTAATATACATTTCTAATCCAAGATCCTATACTTTGAAGATATGTTGCCTATACGATTCGTTACTGGAGACTAGCATAAACGTTGATCATTGGTGACATTGCGGAAATATTACGCTACTGGCCGAAAAGATTGATTGGTTTATTGAACCCACTGCTGCATGGTGTCGGCCATAAAAAGACTCGCTCGATCAAGACGACGTTGATACGAGTTGTTGAATACAGTACGAAATACGGTGCGAAGAAGTTCTAAACTGTAGTTTAGCTGCAGCCCATCAGCCAATCATGACCCCACATAGACAAAACTTTGGATATCGAAATCCTGGCGGGTTGACGGTATAACCCAGAAAACCAAACATAAACCATTCCTATAGCCGCACTCATGGCCGAAGCATTAAAGGCGGCTGCGCGCCAATTGCCCGCGTTCAAGCTGGGCCAGAAGCAAGTTTACCTGTACGCTGAAATCCAATTCCGCCTCCAAATCCTCCCCTCGCGCATAGCCTCATGCTCACTCCGCCAACAGACCCAACCATGTCATCACGATGCTTCGAAAAGAGCACCTCCCGCCCAACGAGGCCTGCTTCAAGGTCCCTCTGCGATTCACAAAATTCGACCTGAGAGACTACCTATGGAACTTGTACAACGTCGAGGTCACCAAAGTACGAGCCTACGTCAAGCAGCAGCCCCTCACCCAGCGCAGCACCAGCTCTCGCTCCTGGTACCGACCGCAGCCCCAGAAGGTCATGACCGTCGAGCTGGCGAAGCCTTTCCAGTGGCCGGAAATCCCTACGGATCTGGAGCCCTGGAGCAATGACCTGTGGAAGATGCGCGAGGACACAATTGAGAAGAGGAACGAGGAGCAGCTCGTGCGACAGAAGATGCAGATTCCACTGAAGAGCAAGGAGCCCGTATCAAAAGACCGAGAAGAATTGGGCAAGCTGGCTAAGAAGATGTTGTCTGGAGAAGTCAAGTGGTCAAACGATGTGGCGCTGGATCCTCGGTGGGATCAGATTCTGGAGAAGGAGAAGGCTAGGAAACCAGCTGAGACAACAGCATCGTCATAAAAGAAAAGAAGAAGAAGAAAGGTTAACTAAAAGAGGGAGCACGCACACTGATTTTTCTCCTCGCGATTATTGGGATATACAGGAAAAGGGAGACTACGGCAATTGGCCAGTGTATGACTTAGACGCATATCATGTGCATATATGTATTATGTATATTATTTTGAACTTGTAAAAAAAGCAAACTTTCTCGCCTATGCTTTACATTGAACCACTGATTGCATACCATTATTGTTTAATCTCAACATCGGCCCAATGCTCTGGCGCCTGGAACTGCAGGACTTGGTCTCCCCAACTCCACCAGCCAGAGGTGAGGTTGCGGGCAAATACCTCCAAAGCTGTGTAATCTTGACCAAGATACTCTTTAAACAGTCGCCGGAGATTTGGCTTCCGTGAATGTACGTCTGGAACTGCCAAGATGACTCGAGGCTTGAGAGTCTCCGGTGCCTTGGCGCCGATGCGTTTTGCAATCAGCAGTGTCTCCCATGGTTTTCGCCATGTAGACTCTATATCAAACAGGGGCTCGCCTGATGAGGTGATTTTGAGCCATGTCCACTGCGTTACCAGTTCGAGGCCCCAGGAAGCAAAGAGGCCTTTGGATGAGGTTACTAGGTCAAGCACGCTGGATTTGTTAGTGATCCACATGGCCACTAGGCCGTCAGAAGCAAGATGAGAAGCCACGGGTATGCTAGAGAGAAGCCCTTCTATTTCTGAAAGATTAGAGGCAGTGTTGTAGCTGCCTGCTTTCTTTCTCCTGGCTGATCGATTTGGCCATGGGGGATCAAGGACCATCAGACGGAACTGCGGCGCTCGATCAACGAATGTCTGCCGCAGATCACGGATAGATCCGTGCAAGTACTCAGCCCCAAGGGGAATCCTGACAGCATCCATTGCAGAAGCTGCAGTGCTAGCAGCATTGCTGGGAGTATCACCAGTAGTATCAGCAGAAGTGGCGCCACCAGTCTCAATCTTTCTGTCAATGAAATCCTGGGGAATCAGCCCATCCGGGGCACTGCAAAGCCGGGGCAGGCAAAACAGTCCCGAATATCGGCTATGGAGCTGGTCCAGAGCGCTCTGCACGGCTGCTGCGGCCATCAAGTCCGCAATATGAGCTCCCGCAGACTGCGAGTTGCGCAGCCAATGATCAGCTGTTGCCCCATCTCGCGGCTCCGGGGTGGTGAATGGCTTGAGTGGCGGGGCCCCAGAAACGATTCGAGCCGATGGCGGGAGGCCGGGGGGCACTTGGGCCTCTTCTAGGGACCTGGGGATGTCGAGCAGGACGACATTGCCGGCGTGGAAGAGGATCGACGATGTGGTTGGAATAGGTGGTGCTGGTGGTGAAGACGTTGGTGATGCTTCGTCACATGCGCTGACAGAGGCCATTGCCAGCAAGCACTGTGACGCAGAGATTATGCAAGCATCATGTTACAATCACGAGAAAATCTGATTTCAGCAGAAGCAAACTAGGTACAGGTTCTTAGTAGGCTACTACTACTTAGGCCACCTGCACGCTGTAGGTTCCTACATGTACCTCTACTGTGTCTTGAGCCAATAGAGCTTCAGAGAGCTTCAGAAAATGGTAAGCAAATGGTCAATGCAGCTACGGCAGCGGCGGGACAATGGCCGAAGAATGCGGAGAGCGCCACGAAAAGTTCTTGGTTCAAGGCACAGAATGCGATAGGGATGAATCCATATCCAGAATACAAACAATGGCTGTCAACGGCATGCGCCGGTAGGAACAAGATAGGAACCGCCCTGGTACCTCGAAGTAGGCGTTTCACCCCAAACGGCTCAATCTTCGGCAATCCTCGGCCCCAGAGACCCTACGGCTCTAAAAAAGCTCCCCTCAGTGGCGGTTGGTGACCAGCGAATGACTTCGGCACAGGCCAGAGCCCTGGGCAGGTGACCAGAATCCAGGCTCGATATGCGGTCCGCTCAGGTACCGCCCAGGTACCTCGTCGCACAAAGCAAATGACGTCTCGGAGCGCTCGCAGGGAGCCGAGTTTATCGATTTCTTTTTCTCGTCCTGATCCTGGGGTTATTATCAAGCCTTCAGCCCCCCTAAGCAGTTGTCTTCGCTTACCGTTTGGTCGTTTCTTTTTTTCTTTTCCTCTTACTCTTTTTCTTGTCTTCCCCTTTTTCCTTGATTCGCACTTCCGTCAGCTCTGCGGGCATGTCTCTTTTATAGAATCCATCGGCTATTCCTCACAACCACTTCTGCGACTGCGACTGATTGCGCTGCAATGCCGTCCGCCTATGCGGACCATGGCTCCATGGCCGACATAGCACGCGACAAAGCTCTGCAGCATGGCTCGACCGTGGCTGGCGCGACGGCGGCTGCTGCTCCCAGGAGAAAAGAAGCTGCTCCTCCGAAAGGCGACGAACTCTCGGCACATCGCGCAAAGACTCGTTCGTGGGATTATATCTGGAGGTCCGGTGTCGCCGGTGGCCTCGCAGGATGCGCCGTAAGTTGCTGGTCCCAAACACCCAAAAATATGTGCGAAATTGGCACAAAAATAATATTTAGCCAGATTCTATAGAATATTGCGTTGCTAACTCCCTCTATGACAGGCAAAAACGACAGTAGCGCCCCTTGATCGTGTCAAGATCCTCTTCCAGACCAGCAACCCCCAGTTCGCAAAATACACGGGCTCCTCTTTTGGAGTCGCTACCGCAATGAAAGACATATACCTCCAAGAGGGCGGCCGAGGACTTTTCAGAGGCCACTCAGCGACCTTACTTAGAATTTTCCCCTACGCTGGCATCAAATTTCTCGCTTACGAGCAGATTCGCAATATCTTTATCCCAGACAAACACCACGAGACGCCATTCCGACGGCTGATCAGCGGCAGCCTCGCGGGCGTAACATCTGTTTTCTTCACGTATCCTCTAGAGGTCGTTCGAGTTCGCCTCGCCTTTGAGACGAGACGGGATGGCCGCTCATCATTGACATCAATATGTCGCCAAATCTACAACGAACACCCTATTGAGAAGTCTCGAACCGCAAAACTACCACATTCACCTTCAATTGCGACAGCTGTAGACTCTGCCGCCGCTGCCGTCGAATCCGTCGCGCCGCGGGTGGGTTTGGTGAACTTTTACCGCGGTTTCGCTCCCACCATGCTGGGCATGCTGCCATATGCTGGCGTGTCTTTCCTCACCCATGACACCATGACAGACCTACTACGCCATCCTTCCATCGCCGAGCATACAACTTTGCCGAAAAAGAAGAACCACCCTGAAGGCAAGCCTGCGGCGCTTCGATCTTGGGCCGAACTTACCGCTGGAGGCGTTGCCGGTATGATTTCACAAACAAGCTCATACCCCCTCGAAGTAGTCCGACGGCGCATGCAAGTTGGCGGCGCTGTTGGTGATGGTCGAAGGCTTCGCGTTGGAGAGACAGCCGCCATGATTCTCCGAGAGCGAGGAATCCGAGGCTTCTTCGTCGGCCTCACAATCGGATACGTCAAGGTGGTGCCTCTGGCAGCGGTGAGCTTTTACACTTACGAACGCATGAAGCTTATTCTTGGTATATAAAGAAAGAAGAAAATGATGGATGCACGGCTACATAGGCGTTGGTTGGGTTTCTGCAAGGCACACATGTAAAGGCTTTTTTTTTATTGGGCTGGCTTTTCTCTTGTTTGGTTTTTATATATTGTGTGTTTAAGCCTCCACACAGAGTTTGAAGGGACGGAGTCACGACTGGACATCCCGCTTAGCATTCGGAACATGTGTTATTTGTTATACCTGTAAAATAAAATACAGAGCGCTATGACATATGGATTAGAGCTACATTATCAATGTGTTGTGGTTTTGTTGCTGAGCCCATTCGCTGTATTGCCACCAAGTATTCATGTACTATATACATGTACTCGATCTCAAGATTCAATTTTGTTGCACATCTAGCATTACCTGAATCATCTTCATTTGAATTACATAGCGTCTATTATTATTTTTGTCATAGTCATCGTCCGCATCATCATATTGTCCTTGTTCTAGTTGGGATCACTCGTGGATGAGTTGGGAACCATGCCGTAACCTAATTGGCCGACACGCCGCTGCATCTTTTTAGCCTGCGGCTAGCTTCTCAGCCTTGCTGCACCAAACACTCAACCTCTCTCCGTCAACCTCATCCTCAGCCTCTCTTCATCATCAAGCCCAGCCTTCCATCACCAACAGGCTTCATTCCTCATGCGCTGCGGCATGCCAATCGGCCTCTCATAAACTCTCATCGATAATATCCTCCGCCCATCGCCCCTTTCCTCCCAATTAGAGAGCTCACCCGTCTCTCTCACCAGCTCCAATCCTTTTCCCCGTCTTTTTTGCGCGCCCCTCGCGTTCATCATGGCAGCCACAGACCATGATCCGCTCCTCGTCCTTCGTAAATCCATCTCTAGCGGCCAGCCCTTCATCCCGAGCGCGTCCGACGACCCTTCCGCTGCCGAAGTCTCTCTCTCGCAGGCCACGCACCTGCAGTTCACAGGGCTCTCGCTCGCGCTGCCGATAGACTCGCCCACGCGCTTCATCTCCAGCGATAAGCCGGTCGACTTGCGTAGTATCTACTTCGCCTGGCTGAACCGCGAGCTTGCCATCCCGGAATACAATGCCTCGGCTACGACGCTCAATGACGAGCTCGGCGCGAATGGATCGAGCGGCAAGGTTCAGAACCTGGGTTTCATTGAAAGACTCGATTTGATCACTTGGCTCGAAGGTGCTAGCGAGGAAAGCGAGTATATTAAGCCTATAGCAGGAGACGCGAGTGCAGCGGCTGCTGGAACGACCCTATCCTCAAAGACTGGCGCTGCGGCCTTGGCTGCCTCGGCGAGATCAGGCAAGGGGACAATCGACCCGAGGCTGGCAAGTGTGTATGACGGTGAGCGCAGAATGGGCGACCGCAACTCAGTCCTGAGGGGCATCAAACCCACGGTAAGTGATATGACTAGCTAATGCTACATTCATACTGCGCATTGCGTGTGGATGTCATTCAACAGTTGGTTAACAGGCAATAGGATTTCTCCCACGTGCGAAAACTCGCCATCCCCTTCCTCCAAAAGAAGTCTCAGTCTTCGGCCATCAGCTCGACCCAGTCTCTCTCCATCAACCAAAAAGGCCCTACCCGTCGCCCCGACCCCATCATCTTGCTCTCTCCATCCGCCTCCTCTCTCCTGCGCATGTCCAATGCTCGCTCATTCCTCGAGGATGGCAAGTTTGTGCCTCCCGATGCGGGGGCGTCCACCGCTTCCATGCTGCACGTCCAGCGCATCATCCCCGGCATCGACCCAAATCGGCCGATGCGTTTCATCCTCGTCGAAGGGTCAGAGCAGTTCAAGCCCGAATACTGGAACCGCATTGTTGCGGTCTTTACAACGGGCCAGACGTGGCAATTTAAGAATTACAAGTGGAGCAATCCAAATGAGCTTTTTAAGCATACCATGGGCGTGTTTGTCGGATGGAGAGGCGAGCAGGCGCCGGATAATATCCGCGGCTGGGGTCACCGCGTCACGACTACGAGCGTTGACCGCTGGAGGGGCGAGGACGACGTCGCTTCGCGATTCAGAGACAAGGAGGTTGTGGAGTATATTTGGAAGTCTATCGAGTCGAACATGCGGAATAAGGGCTGGAGGAGAGATGCCGCTCCTTCGTCGATATAAGCCCCAGTTGCCACTTTCACGCAAAGTTGAAAAGGAGAGTAGGAAATCACAGGTGAACGCGTGCGAATAGGCTCTAGTTGGGAAGAGAGCCACGGTGGAAAGATGCTCGAACAGAGCGATACATGTTATTTCATGGAATGGAGGGAGAGAATGTACGACTAATTCATAAAGTATACATATTTTTTCTACCTGTTGAAAGGGAATTGGAGATTAGGAGCGACGGCGTTTGGCCTTTTTATCTTTTTGGTTTCTTGACGGGCCCAGCTTTGGGCCTGGGAATGGGCAGATGAGAGGGGTGGGAAGATCTGAAGAAGCGAATAGAAAAAAAGTATTAATGAAATGGAATATCAAAAATTGTTTCAACGATGTTGCTCATTCTATCCATCGCCGATTGTATCAACCAGATCTGCTGTCAAACACAAGACTTCACGCCTCAAAAGCTTTTACGCACGGACATGTGTATATCTCGTCATCCCCCCAGGCATAATCCGTTCAATTAATGTCATCTGTCTTCGGAGACTTTTTTTTGCTCCTACGGTCTCGTCCCTTGAGGAGCTCAAACTGGTTAGAAAGGGAGATCTACGCTGACATGATAACAAGACCCTGTTCACGATGCTTATCTTACGTCTTTGCCATGGCATTTCTTGCTAGGATGTCGGAGTAGGCCGATTCGTCACAAATCATGCGATGGATATATCCTTGGTCTGCGTTTTGATTGCGCGGAGTTACGGGAGGCGGACTTGTGTTTCCCCCATGTTCTTTTCTTTTTAATAAGTTACTGTAGCATCCTAACTGTTACAAGGTACGCAAAGTCTTATTTACAAGGCGTCTATGTTTCCGTGTAATGACAAGCCACCTTTTTTTGGCCAGCCGGCGAATATTCCCCTTATTCAACGTCGTAGTCTTGAGGATCCCCCGCATAACGCTAGCCTTTGTCAGGAGTGAAACAGACAAAGCTCACAGCCATGTCCCTATCAGGTAGTTCGCTAGAAGATGCCACGAGATAATCCGCCAATTGAACGTTTTGCCGTTTACAAGGGGAGGGGGGTTCCCTCCCTTGCACGTCTTGTTTCTTGTTTTTCTTTGCATTTTGTTCCTTTGCTTTCTTTGCTTTGGGCTTGGAAGTGGAAAAAAGCCCGGAATATTCTCCATGGGGTATAAGTTGATGGTGACATATGCAGCCCTTTGGACGGAGATGAAAGGTCAGGGGCAAGAAGACGAGGATTAACGGAAGAGCCACTACTCCTTCTCATTGAATCCCTGACGTAAATAGGCCCGACATGCCGTGCGTATTGCTCAACGACGTACGGGTTAAGAGACTCTGGTTAATAGAATAAGGCCGTAGAAGCCTTCGGCCGAGCAAAAGGTTACTTCCGAGAGTGCTTTACCGCCAAGAACCTGGTTCTTCTTCTTCTTCTCCATAGCCAGGTATACACATGTGCAGCCTGATTTGAGGTGGCATTTGCCTTCACCGAGCGCTGCATTAGGCAGACTCGCGCGTGAGTTCCCTGCTTCCATACAGGGTCCTTGAAGGGGGAGTGCTGAATACTTGCCCGAAAAGGGGGGGCCTGGCCCATGAGAAATCGAAACAGGCCCTGGATCGTGCAGCGTTTAAAAGGGTTGAGCCACGTTGTCCGGATGCAACACTGACGGGGGGGTTGAAGGATGCAAAGTTGCTTTTCAGGGGACCGGCCGCGATCATGCCCGCCTTGCCGGACATGCAGTCATGCAGGATCAGCAATTGATTCTAGAATGTCGTGGCTGAGAGAAGCACTATCCTATTACAGATGAGGGTGGTACTATGCACTTGTCTGCTACTCAGAGCAGTTGGGTATCTTTATCTCTGTAGGCAGCGAGGAGATTGATCAAAGCTTGGATGAATGTTTGCGTCAGACATACTGTAGCAGTCTTACAAGCAGTTGTTCTGCAACCCTGCGCCTGAAACACCATGCAGTCATACAGTCTTGGATGAGGAGGCAGCATCTAGACTGATAAAAGAAGGATGTTGTGGCGACGGTAATACTACTTTCTCATGGTGACGTGATTCAGACTACTAACTGGAGAGATGGTTATCCATGTGTTGCGCAGCACGAAGAGCATCCAAGAATGAACCAGTTGATTGATGGTTGGGAGTTGTGAAAAGTCGCCGATGTGGAACGATGGTTTCTGAGGTAAATTGTTCCTATCGCTAGTTTTTTTTCATATGAGCATATTGTAGCGGTATCTCATCTATTTTAGCAAATTTAATGCTTCTATGGCTTTTATATACCGATTACACCCTTGTGATCACTTTAAGACTTATCTAAATGAGGCTGCCGAGTCTTTGTACACAACGGCGAACATGCGATAAAGCAGAACCATTCATTATATAGAAAAATTAGATCATTATTATTCATAAGCTTCATTGCTTTATGCCCCATTAATCTCGTGTTCTTTGGATTGAGTGACAGTGCAGCCGTCCACCGCCACACAAATGGTGGCGATACCGCATGTTATTAGTTTACATACTTTCACAGTCCTCTGTGAGTACTATCGACAGCGTACAACATAGATGATGGTATATTACTAGAAACAATCATGAGTACTTTGACTGTCGCAGAACAACTAGTTCTATTATCAAGCAGTGAGCGCTCTTTGTTTCACAATGCTAGCCAATACAAGATGAAATAACTCTACTTGGATGCCAGGAGATGACAATGACCATCGATTGACATTCACTGTGTAAAACAAAGCATGCCTTAAATTTGAGGGAATACGAAAACCAAGGCAAAAAGACATGGACTATTAAGAAAAGTCTTTGTTTTTCTCTCATTCCTCTGCGGGTGACTTGACTCATTCATGACACTCATCGCTCACCTCGATAATCGAAAGCAGTCCATCGCTAAATGATTAGTACTGAATATCTACCTAAGAGCATTAAATCTTGAGATACTCAAAGTTAGCTCATCGACAACTATCGCCATGGTGTAGTTGGGTAAGAAACTCAAAAGCCGCGATCATCGTGATTCCTCTTGGCACCCCCCAACTCAACCAATCGCAACTGTCTCTTGAACAGGAAATCGAAAGTGCACAGGCATTAATCTCGCATTCCAGAAAACTATTTTCGTGTATTGCATACTTGACTAAGATCAATTGTAGAGGAGTATGTCTATCAACGGATACACTTTCACAGCTTTCCCCCGATACAGCTCAATGATACAGCTCCCTGCTCGCCAAGAGCTTAAACAACCTCAAGATCTACTAAAGTATAACTCTCAAACAACTAGAAATCCTCTCTGGCTATTGTTTTATCCAGAAGACTTCTGTTTAACTGCATGTCTTCTTAGTGCAGTGAATAGTCGCAAGACTTTTACAACCACGCCATGATCCTTCGCAAGCCACTTATCAACAAGTCTTCTCATCATCATGGCTGTGCCAAGACGCTAGAAACCATCGAATTCAAAATTGAAAACCCATTCGGTACCAGCAAAGTGGTTAACCGCAAAAACTAAAAACTAAGTTGTCTTCTAGGCCAAAGCCACCGCAACGCCGTGGCTTGTTCTCGATGGCGGCGCCAGCGGAGAAACATGGAGATACTATTTCCTCGATAGGTTAATCCTAGAGAGAGTTTTACTATGAGACAGAACGAAAGAGCGCAAAATAATATTTCTCCGTGTGTATAAGCCATTGATGGCGTTTTGAAACAACCGCTGATGCGATACTTTTTTTTCGTTTTCGCAATTGCCAAGAAAAGCAGGGGACGGAGAGAAAGAGAACCAAAAATGCCCAGGATAAAGTCTTCGGGGAATATTTTGTTTCTTCCTCGCCTTTTTTTTTTTCTAAAATAATCAACGGCGTTGCCGGTTGGAGGGTTACCGACCTTCTAAGCAAGGGTTTCGGAGGAGTCCGAACAGGGCAAGGGTCCTCATTCTCTTTCCAAACAGCGATGCCGGCGAACTTTGATGCAAACAAGAGAGAATATGGCGTTGAAGAGCCCGCGTATGCCAAGCTCGCCTTGTGGAGAAAGCCAGAGAACGTTGCAGCAGATTATTGAGCACTATAACTAGGTATACGGAAAACAATGTCAGAGCTTTGTCTTGGCTAAAAGTCAGTTTTATGTCTAGTGTGTGTGAGTGTGAGTGTAGCATGCCCTTTTTTATTGTAACAGGCAGTTAACTCTGTTATCGTCATGGTATACAACTGGCCATGGCGTTGAGCAAGCCCCGGGGTTGGCGATGACGAAATTGGCAGCTGGACGTCGAGACTCACGCTTTGGCCATTTGGAGATCAGTGTATGCTGCAGACGCCATGAATGATGTCCGTGGAGGGAAAAGCACAGACGATAATTAAACGAGTCTGCGGTGCGAGTTGCTCAACATGGCAAACAGTGTTTCAACCGCTGAGCTGAGTGGTGAAAAGGAGGAGTAATGTCAAAAAACGAGGTCATCTATACAGTCTCTACAATAGGCATCTCGATATGCCGGGGCAACTCCCGCTCTCAACCTCTCCAACTTCTACTTGCCACGTGGGACTAGCAATAGTACATCACATTCATATCGTTCGATTTACTAGGACATAATCCTTCGCTTAATCTGTTTCACCACGCCTCTTGCCCAGCCGACAAGCGAGAAGAGCCTTTTCCCACCAGCAGCCGAGGACGGTGCGGGAAGCGGTGGGCGGAGGGGCGGTGGCTTTTTGGACCGGGGTGGACGCTAGAAAGCTCGGCGAAGTCCTGAGAGAAGCCATTCGTTTGCCCAGCCGAGAGAGAGAGAGTCTGGGGAGGAGCTTCGAGCCGCGGTTCCATCTTTGGGGATATGCGACGTTTGCTTATTCCTGCCTTACTGTACGGGTATATGGCTGGAGTGGCGCTGGAACCAGCGAGGCTAGCTTTTCATCACTGCGGTTACTGCGAGGAGTTGAGCCTGTTCTAGTAACTGCGACTGCGAGTAAACAAGAGCCGTCGGCGATTTTTTTGTCTTCGAAGCCTGAAGGGTCTACGTATACTAATCATTCAATATATG